CCCGCGGGAGGATGTCGGAGGATCGCGACACGGACAAGATGATCAAGGTAGGCAGGAGGCAGCGGCGCTCGGGATCTCCCCGCCGCCCGTTCCCGCTCGTCCCCTGTCCTGCGAGGGCTGCTAAGCAGCCCGGGCAGAGCCCTGGGGCCCATGCCCGTTCCCTTCCCTCTGCGGCTCTGCTCCTCGCCGCCCTTCCACCGGGGCCCGGCTGCCCTCGGGCTGTCACCCGCAGTACTCCGATGGGGAGCCCTGGACAGGGACATACGAGCCGCGGATTCAGCGGGATCCGGCTTTGGGGGATCCGTGTTGGGACAGCGAGGCTGCAGGGAGCAGAGCTGGAGCTGTCCGGGGCAGGCAGGGTCTCGGCCTTGCAGCTGCCCCTGCTGCAGAGGCAGCGCTGTCTCCTCTCTCTGTCCCCACGTTCCTCTTCGGATGCTGTGAGGAAAACAAATCTGGCGTGTGGGATGTTTGTGTGTCGAGTGGTGGTAGAGGAGTGAAACAGATTCAGGGTTTCTTTTTTTACAGCCAGAATTGGTGTGTGAGCTTAGTGCTGCCTGGTGAATCCTCCCCTGATCTGGCTGAGTGGATTCCCTGAGGAATTTGGGGAAACCCTTTTGGGATAATGTAACCATAAAAGAATGTTTTAAAGACTCTCTGCAGGCTCTTTACCACGTGCTGAGCTTTCTCTGGCACAGGTTCTGGGTGCCTTCATAAACGTTTGCTTTAATAAGGTGAATGAATTCCTGAAGGATATAGGTAAAAAGACCCTGGATTTTGGGATTTGCCACCTTTCCTTAGCCCTGCTGTTGGGTTTGTCTCCACAAGGGTCACTGGGGACAAAAATCAACTCAAGAGAAGTAGCAGCGCAGTCTGGTGCTGTTAAAATCTGGACTGCTTTAAAATATGTGAGTTTTTTGAACTGAAAAAAAAAAGCCCAGAGTAGCAGGGAGTCTGAGCACCGTGTTCAGACAGCCCAGGCTGTGCTTGAACTGCGAGATGAGGTGTCACAGCTGAGGGCTGTCTCCTCCTGCTTCATTGCCAGTCTGGGCACGGCACAGGTGAAGCAGCTGTCCAGAAGGCTTTCAGAACAAAGGGTTTGCCAGTAGTCCTTTGGTCTTTTATGTGAAGGTGAAGATCTTAGGGCTTAAAACCAAACAAGCTAAAGCAGTTGTGTGAGTGCAGGGCCACTCCTGTGTCTACCCCCTGCCCCTCTAGGGTCAGAGGGCTTGTGACTGAGAACAGATTCGGGGCAAAGCTTTTGGGTTATTTGCATTGGCTGAATCTAAACCATAATTTATTCCTATTATGTCTTCTGCTGATTCCTCTGCTTCTGACATACTCGGTTATTGTTTGAGTTTGATTTGTTTTCACCTGCATCTGCAGGGTTAAGGGCTGTGATTGAGGGTAGTGATTGCTCTGGGGGCAAACCAGCCAGAGGAGGACAGGCTGTGTGTTGGAGCAGTGGAGGTGGAGTTACACTCGTTGCTGTTTTGGTTGTAGAATAGGTGGACTTTGTCCCAGCAGCACATTTGGCTGTGGTGAATATGCAATATCCTTAAAAGTCCCTTATTTCAAACCTTTTCCTGTTGATATTCAGTTGAAACTGAGAAGTGCCCGAGCTCTGCCCTGCACAATCCCAATGGGTGGCTGACTCTGGCTGAAAGCAGCTTGTTGGAGTTGAAGCTGAGGGGAATCTGAGTGCTGCTCTCCAGGCTGTTAGCCTCCCAGACTGCTGACTCTGCACGGGAGGATGCTCAGGCTGTTGTTTTAGGTCCCCTGAGCTCACCCAGAGGGAATCGTGCTGCTGAAGAGAGCTGGACACTTCAGCCTTGTGTGAAACTGTTCTGCAGTCGTGTACATTTCAAGTTCATTTATTCCTGGAAATTAATTGAAGGGCTGATCAGAGTTCTTTTAACACTGGGAGTGGACAGAGTGGCTGTAAGAAACTGCACCACTGCAGATTTTTTTTGGAAGCTCTCTCTCCAGCACCCTCCTGCCTCCTCTGTTCCCAGCCACAGCAGATTAGTTCCAGCTGACCCGTCAGCCCCTCTACGAGTTCAGCTCTGGTTGAATGTTGTGAATTTGTGGATTTGCAGATTCACAGCCTGGTCCTAGATGTGGAGTTTCTCCTTCTGAATGAGATGTGAGCAGTTCTGTATGTTGGTGGACATAGGACTTCTCAAATGCTGTATTTCACTTTGTTAGGAAATGCTGAATAGTGTTTCTTGATCACAAGATTATTCATTTTTACTTCTTCATTCCAAAGCTGCTTTAGAATTTAGACTGGAATCCAAATAAAAATGCAGCAAACAAAAACATTGGCTTTTTTTTTTAAAAACAGTTTGAATATGCAGAATATGAAAGAGGAAATTAACTTTTTATTAAAAATGGACTTATTTGTAGTTGCTGAACTCGTCCTTCAGGAGTTGGGAACTATCAGATTCTCACTTTGATTCACAGATCAGACTTTCCAAGTCCTATCCAGCTGCTCTGTTCCACTTCTTCAGCTGAAATGAAGCAAACGGTCTCTGCCATCGCCAGAGCAGCACAAGGAAGGAGAAACTTGAGTCAAGACTGGGCTTGTAGATGGAGACGGTGTCTCCTTTTAGCCCAACCTGTGCGGCTGAAGGAGGGACGTTTTTGGGGCAGGCAGGCCCTTCTGTGGTTTTGGAAAGGAGCAGCAGACTTCAAAGGGCTGTAAACAAAGAGTCGTTATCACTCGATCAGGCTGCTGCTCCAGACTGCTTTGGCATTGGAGTCTCTGTTTTGGGGGTTTGACTTCACAACTTAAACACTAAGGGTGGTCTTGGAAAGCCTGCCCAAGGGGTTCTGCCCAGTTCAGAGAAACCCTTTCCTTGCTCGTTAGTGCTCTTCCCGAGCTGTGGGTTCATTCTGCCTGTGATGCCTTCAGTTCTCTGCATCTGACCATCAGGATTAAATCACCTTCCCCAACCTGCTGCTCCCAACTGGAATTTCTGCTAGTTGAACTGACAGGAAAGTTTCTTCGTGCATCTACCAACAAACTGTGTGTGATCCACTGTGCTCTTCTTCTCCTTCCTTTTAAAACCCTGCATAAAACCTCCAGTTACCTTTAACTCTTTCACTTTACTCGTTTGTGATTTATGCAGCACCCACTCCAGACTGTGTTAAAAGGCAATTTTTCCTTTCGTGTCTGTCTCTTGCACTCTCTGATCCTTTCACATCATGCCCTCAACATCAACTTTCCTCTCTTGCTGGGTGTGAAGCTGTGTGGGCTGGGGTCTGGCTCCAGCCTGGCAGCAGTGTTCCTCCACGACTGGCATCCCAGGTTAGGAACTGTCATTTTTCAACACCTTCCTGGGGAGCACGAGTGTTCTCAGTTTTCTCATCATTTGTAGCACGAGTGAAGCCTGAAATGCTGCAGTTTTGGCAGGAGGCTAACAGAAGGGGCAGGGCTGATCAGAATAAAGCTGCTCTGCAGGCAGCAGACTATTCTGTTTATTTTCAGTGCAGTTAGGAAATATTTTATCTGCTTGCTTCAGCCTTTCCAGTGCTAGCTCTTGTTACCAGCTCCTTTGAGAATCATTTGGTCTTTTCCAACCTTAATGACTCTCCAGTCAAACTATCAACCCAACAGCACCGTGACCACTAAACCATGTCCCAAAGTGCCATGTCTACACATTTTTTGAACCCTTCCTGGTGACTCCAGCATCTCCCTGTGCAGCCTGGGCCACTCCTCACCACTGTCAGGAAAGAAATTCTGCCTAATATCCAGTCAAAACCTCCCCTGGTGCAACTTCAGCCCATTGCCTCTCGTCCTATCCCTGGTTACTTGGGAGAAGAGACCAACACTCACCTCCCTCCAGCCTCCTCTCAGGGAGTTGTAGAGAGCAATAATGTCTCCTGTGAGCCTCCTCTTCTCCAGACTAAACACCCCCAGGTCCCTCAGCTGCTCCTCACAATCATGTTCCCCAGACCCCTCCTCAGCTTTGTTGACCTTCTCTGGACCTGCTCCAGCCCCTCAAGGTCTTTTGTACCCTGTGGTGCCCAAAACTGACCCCAGTACTCAACCTGTGGCCTCCCCAGTGCCCGGTCCAGGGGCACAATCACTTCCCTCCTCCTGCTGCTCACACCATTTCTGATCCAGGCCAGGATGCTGGTGACCTTCTTGTCCACCTGGGCACACACTGGCCCATGTCCATCTGGCTGCCCACCAACACCCCCAGGGCCTTTTCTGCCAGGCCTTTTCCAAGCCTGTAGCATTTGTCAGAACCACTTTATGTTGCAGTTTATCAGAAAATGTGGCTTTCTGAAAGCTCTTCCTCAGCACTGGAAGAGAGGCTGGGGAAAGCAGCAAGGTGAATCCTGTGTGTGCCTCCCTCAGGGGGTGTGTTTCAGCCTCCAGCCCCGCTCTGCTGTGGGTCAGAGCCTGAAGCAGCTCGTGGCAGCAGTGGCTGTCAAAGCACCCCGTGCTGCAGCTACCTTTGCACCCTGCCTTGTGACATGTTTAAGCATGATAACACCCGAGCTGTGTCATAACAAACCCAAACCCTGTTCAGAGGGATTTGGACAAAAGGATTATAAAATGAGCCTGCTTCATTATCAGACAAGCTAAAACTAGTCACGCAGGGTTTAATTTACAGTGTCATGATTCCAAAGGTTTGCAAACCCTAAGAAAGCAGAAAGATCATTTTCTGTCCTACCACGTGACCAAAAATATACAGAATAATGCTGAAATTGGGCCTTTGTGTTCATTGTGATTGATGTTTATAGTTAGGAAGCTGGATTTAAGAGTCAGGGGGGAAAAGTACCCTTGATACACTTTCTGTATTAAAGGCACAAGATCCCATTATCCTGTTTCAAAGTACCAGGGTGAGCAGCCTCAGCTGCACAGACATAATTTTCAGCTGCTGTGTGTTATTATGTGAGCCTTTGGATTGATGTTTCATTTTCCTAGGTGAAGCAGAACTCCAGAGCTTTTTCTCTGCTCAGCTATCTTGCAAATCAGGTCTGCTGAGCTGGTTTTTTTTTTCAGAAGGGATGTAGTAAATTTTTATTTACGTGTTTGTTTTACTCTCTTTCCCCTCCCCCTGCTCCTTCTTGAATAGGAAACCTCCATTTTAGAGGAGTACAACATTAACTGGACTCAGAAGCTGGGAGCTGGGATCAGTGGTCCTGTTAGGTAAGACTCTACACCTGAGGATCTGTGTGTAACCTCGGCCCGTTCCCTTGGCTGTGGAGCAGTGAGGATGTGTTTGAGGTGTGCTGGCAGCAGAGCCCTGTGATGTGGGGAAGACATAAAGAAGTGTCTCTACTCCACTTGGGTCGTAGCTGATGTGCAAGGGAGAGAGGCTTTGTGGGGTGTGTTGGAAGTAAAAACTCCTCATTCTCTGCCTGGTCCTGTCCCACTCCTGTTTTCCTGGAGAAAAGCAGCAACAGGAGTCGGTTGTGAAACAGAGGTGGCAGAAAATTCTCCTCAAACCCCTTTGGCCTTTTGATGCCAGTGCCAGTGTGGTGCAAAGGTCACTGCTCCCATTGGTGGTATCATCACTTGGGGCTCCAGCTCTGCGTGCCCGTTAGCTATTTTTACCAGCTATTTTTTCAGCTCATCATGTGAGGCCAAAGCAGACAGTGCTGTGAGCTCTGCATCTCAAACCAGACTCGCCCTTCAGGAGTCTCCAACCCCTGCAGGAACTGGATGCTTTCTGGAAAGCAAAACATAGGTTCCCTTTTCAGCAAGCAGTCTCCTTTTTGGGGGCAGGAGTTTGTGTACAAGGGCTGGGGCACAAACGTCTGCACCCCTATTAGTGGGTGCTCAACAGGGCCATCTTTTGCCACCATTTATCCTCCTCTCCAGGCAATTGGTTCCTCCTTGACAATTTTGTGCTGCTGTGTCACCTCTGATCTTTATGAAAATATCCCTTTGTTCTTTATTCTTTTAGCTGCCTGTTAATAGGTGGGACCTTCCCTCTGACACAGCTCGATTGTTAATGTTAAATGGGGGAAAGAGGGGAAAAAAAAACGTGTGTGGCACGGTTGGTGGCCTGGCCCAGAGAGGGATTTCCATTCAGAAACACTTTATTTATTGCAGACTGCACCCTTCATGGGAGATATTCAGGCTGCCACTGTGTGGCTGGGTTTTTTTTTCATCAAAAGCATCTCTTCAGGCTGAATGTATAGAGAGCGTTCTGCTTGTCAGCAGTTCCCCGTTGCTCTGAAACACTTTGTCTGCATTGCTGGGGGTGTAACTTCCTGTGAGGTGTTTTTATGTCACGTATTTGATTGCTGTGGAAGGCTGAAAATGGAGGCTTTCAAGCTGGGCCGTGGTTGCAGGTGCCCTGTATCTTCCTGAGAGCAGGAATTCCTGTTAACTCCCACGTGGAGAGCAAGCTCGTAGCGACAGATCAATTGCTTGAAGTGTCTCTTTAACATTCTTGCTGACTGAATAATTTTATTGCTGTAATACCAGAGTCTGCGTGAAAAAATCCTCTCAAGAACGTTTTGCACTGAAAATTCTTCTTGATCGTCCAAAAGCTAGAAATGAGGTATAGTTCTCTTTATACTCTCTGCCTTGTGACACGCCACAAAATCTCACACTTTGGGTCAGTTGTTGCAGTGGGTTAATATAAAAAACAAACAAAATAACACCCTTGCTGTGCAGGATTCCTCATGTTTGCCCTTGCTGTGCCCAGTTCCTGTAGGATGAGGTGCAGAGGGTCTGTGTATGTGCAGGTGTAATGTCTAGAGCTGCATTTTAGAGCTGGTGTTTCTCCCTACGTCCCATGTGGTGTAATAAGGAGAGTTTAGGATGAATTTTAGTTCTGTGCATCTCACTCTTGGATGTCACTGCTCTAAGAATTGGCAGGAGTGCTTCAGGTTGTACTCTTGAGTGGCAGGGGTTGATCTGGGTATGAGAAGCTAAATAAGCTCACTGAGAATGTTTGTGACTTGCTGTGGCTGGCAAGAGCATGCCAAGGTGCCAAACTCAGCCTGCCAAAAATGATGGGCAGCTGTTCCTGTTCATTGTCCTCAAGGTTTAGGCAACTTCCATATCTTGTTCCTGAGAAAATTCTCATTTAAAATCCCCAGGGGAAAATAACCTGTTGACAAAAAGCATCAAGCTGGGTTTAGCAGGCCAGGTAGCTTTCAACTGGGGAAAACTCCTTAGGTCCCTGTTTCAGAAAGTTGGAAGAGGAGATGACATTTCACATGCTGGGAGTGCCAGGTCAGTGGGTCATAGAAGCAGCTAGATGATGGAATTTCAGGTTTTATTAATGAACTTTTGGTTTCAATGGTCTCTCTATTGCTACTTTAAAGCTAGTTTTAGCTTTAAATTTATTTAAAAAGACAAAGGACTCCAAAGATTGGGTGTTTCCTGGCACACTGTTGGGTTTGGTTCCATGGCTGCAATGTGTCCTCTTTTTGTCTCGCTGTGTGGTGGCTGTTGGTCACTCATAAAAATGCTTCTCAGTGCTTCTTGTTGTCTCAATAATGTTGGAACTGGAGGTTACTGGTGCTGAGCACAACTGGCAGCACCCAGGCTCACGTGTGCCATGGTTTTGGGGGCAGAGGGAGGAGCAGAAGGGGTCGAGTGTGTGTTGCTGTGTACAGTAACGTTTCTTCCCTTCTCTTCAAGGTACGTCTGCACATGATGTGTGCAACACATCCAAATATTGTTCAAATTATTGAAGTTTATGCTAACAGTGTGCAGTTCCCACATGAATCCAGCCCAAGGTAAGATTACATAGGGTGATTCATGCCCACAGCTTGCTTTCCATGTTTAGGCCAAGGTATAGTGGAGTTTGCCTTTTTGGTTTTATTTTTGGTCTTTAATCACAGTGTGACTAAAATCAATGTTTAATAGAGGGTTCCAGAGATTGTGTGTATCCTCCAGACTAAGCAGTGCTTGCTTTTTCCCCTGTCAATACCCAGACCTTTGTATATTTAAATGGATTTCCATCCTTTGCTACTGGTCTTGAATACATCTTAATTCCTGAGGTTTTTCATGGATTCAGGTGGTGATAGCTGCATTGTCCAAGAGAGTATATTAGCTTCTAGCTTCTGTCCTGCTTTAATACTGCTTTAGTGGCTTGAATTGAATTGTAACCTTTGAGCCTCCTCCTGCTTTCAAAGCACTGTTAAAGCAAGATTGGAGCTGTGACTTTTGTTGCTGCCTAGAATCCTAAGTGGGGTCCTTGGACGTGATGGTAATGCCTGTGAGCTGCTGGGAAACTCAAAGTGCCAGTCTTCACTGAAGCAAAAAGGAAGAAGGAATTGTTTCTATAAATACTAGGTTCTGCCCTGTAAACTCTTAATACATTGTCCTGCTTGAAATGAACACAGCAAAGCATGAAGCAGACTTACTATTTTTCATACATTAATACTTCTTGGGATAAAAACCTTCTAATTGGACACTAGTTGAGAAAAGAAAATCAGAGGTGGGAGAATTAAAGAGGGGAGACCTCTCTTAGTCTCTGATGTATCTGATTTTGCTGTGTGGTGAGAAGAACTAGAAGCTGCTTCCTTGAGGATCTAGCAGTCCTGAGCTCCACACTTCCTATTCATTGTCCTTCATAATTACAGCCATGAAGCTGTCAATTAAAACCATGAGGTACTGCAGGGTATCCAGACTTGAAAGCATTAAAGATAAACCCTCAACCTTCTGCTTCTGGGTTGCTGTGACCATCTTCAGGAGCGAGGCAGGGCGGCGTGTCTGCAGGGATGGGCACAGCCTGGCACACGCTGTGCCCTGGGCCAGCTCCAGCCTGGAAGCTGTCGAGCCTGTTCAATGCAAGACTCTACCTGCTGTATGATCCTTTTGAGGGCAGAGTTCTACATTGATGTGTCTGAATGGCTTCCAGGTCCAAACTGGCTTGCTGGTGGAGAGCGTGGGTGGAGCTGGCATGAATCTGAATGCATCCATGTAGACATGTCCGTGGTGTTGGTTCCAGCTGGATGTGGGAGCCCAACATGAAGAGCAAACTGTAGGTTCCTGGCTGACAATCACTGAACCAGATTGTGCTGGGAGCCAGAAAATCCTGCAGCTTCTATGTTTAAGGGCAAAAATCATGGCACCAAATGAGCTGTAACGACTGCAGGAGAAGCAAGTGTGTGTCTCTCTCTGGGCCTGCATCAGTAGATATGAAGTATGCATTATTAGCTTAGCAATTCTGTTATTTTTTGATTCTTTTTCATGTAACAAAATGAAATGCTTTTAAACAGGGCTCGGCTCCTTATTGTAATGGAGATGATGGAAGGGGGAGAGCTATTTCACAGAATCAGCCAGCACCGGCACTTTACTGAGAAGCAAGCAAGCCAAGTAACAAAGCAGGCAAGTTAACCCCATGTCTAAACAAATCCATGAATGATAATGGCTCAAGTATTTAACAATTCCTCGAGGGGGGGGAGGGGGTGGGGAAAAAGGAAGCTAAAATAATCCTCAGTTCTGATCCGATGATCATTGCCTGCTTTGTTATAACCTGACAATGCCAAAGTTTCGATAGAAGGGAAGAATTCAAAGGTGTGGGCTAGTTCTTTTGGGTTGGCACCCTGGTGTCTCTGCTGTCCTTAGCAGTGGTTTTCCTAACCTGGTCTGCAGAACATCTCACCAAAGAGGGCTCTTCTTGCACGACCTTGCTGCTGTACCCCTCACACTGTTCTGGGAGAGTTACCTCCAGCAGTCCACGGGCTCTCACGAGACCCCACGTGGCTCCAGCCTGAGAATCACTCTCAGCCAGGACACAGACCTGGTGGGGTAGCAGATGATAGCAGACATGTGTCCTGGGCAAAGGGTTTTCCAGCTGGGTTCTGTGTTTGGTGTTATGGAAGCCCTGCCTGTGGGGAGGGTAACAAGAGGAATGTACCATGTGGTGCAGGTTTCCTGTGCTGCTTGTCCTGATGTCATGTTTCCTTCTATTTCTCTATGCAAATGACTGTCAGATGTTGTGTTTTGTAGCTTCCATGGTATTTATTCCTAGAGGTTTTGGTGTCCATCAGGCTCTCTGTTGCTCAGCAGTGCTTGGTGTGACTGGCTGTGATCCTGCTAGAGTAGGCAGGATGATGGAGCAGAAGGGCCTCTGTGGGATTCAATGTGGGGATCCCCAGTGTCAGCTCCTCTCAGTTCTGGGCTCAGCTTGTTCCTTTCCACTTCTGAGCTTTGGGGTGACCTGTGGTGCCCAGTCAGAGAGCTTGGATTGGTGGGAGGGCTGCAGGCAACGTGGTGTGGCTGAATGCTGGGGCACCACAGCAGACTGTGGCTGTAAGGAACCAGGAGGCAGAAGGATCTTGCTGCCCAAACAGCTGGGTGGAATTCCCACTTCTTCTGTGTGGGAATTGGCACCATGGCATGAAGCTGAGGGCTGGAGTTGCCATCGTGTGCTTCTTGCAGAGGTTATATTGGCATTCCAAGGAAAATAAACACGAGCTGTTGGTGAGATATGAATCTGTAGATGTCCTGCCCCCATACCAGTGATCCCTGCAGTGCATGAAGGAAAGAAAATATGAGACAAGATATTACAGCATTTGTTGTAAATTGACAGGGCTGTTTATGAATATATCTATGTCCCCATCACTTGCTTCCCCCTAAGCTGGGGAGAGAATGTTTGGTACTGAGGGAAAAAAAAAAGCCAGATCATTTCAACTTTTCTGTCTTGTGCTTGGACTTGTTTCTGATGAAATGCTGAATGTGCTGTACCTTTTGGGTTCCATCCAACAAAGAAATTAGGTGGAATTACAGAATTATTCTTGACAGTTTGTTTTGGTGTCCTCTGGGCTGTTTGATTTTTGACAATCCAAGGCAGTCTCCAGGATTAATACACTGGGAAAATCTTTTAAAACAGAAGACAAGACTTTGAATTGAAATCTGACTATGTGTACACTTGGGTTATTCATGTCCCAAGTAAATCTTTGCTTTAATGCTTATACAAATGAAGTTAAAAGTGATGTTGAAGTCTTACTCTCTCATTTAGTGGTTCTTCACCATTGTCTTGAACTACAGGTCTTACTTAGTTCCTTGTACCCAGTAAAATCTTGTCACAAGGCTATCTCATTTTCTCTGGGAACGTGTTTTATTTGTTTCTGAGCTAAGTTAACACTGAAGTTCTCTCATCACAGTAATTTGCAGTCTTCTAAGGACTCAGTGCTTCACCCAGGGTCCTGTGTTTGGGTAGGATCCTGTAGAAGCCAACAGGAATGCTTTCCAATCAGGCCTTAGTTTTGTTTCAGTAATGCTGTTCAAGTGTTTATGCTTTGGTTTTCTTTAAATGAATTACACTTTCAAATGTCCAGTCTGTTGAGCTTTCCTGACTGGGTTACAGGTTTCTAAACCACAGCAGTGTGAGAAGCTGCCTTTGAAAGAACCAAGTAACATGTTTCTTCCATGACATGAGTAAATTGCAGGTGGCACCATCAAGAATTATAGAACAAAAATGCCTGAATGTTGACTGGTAATGCAATAAAATAGTCACTGAATTATTAAAGCAAGAACTTGCTGCTGACTGTTAAACAGAATGTAACTGCTGGAGAGGGTTGTAGTGCCCTTGTGGGCCTAGCAGAGCACATCAAAGGACACTGTCACAACGTGCCTCACTTCTGGGGGGCTAATAGTGCCCTCAGTCAGTCAAACTAAGGTTGTTGGGAAGCCCAGGATGACTTAAGTTTTTATTTTCTGCTTGCTTTGAGTGAAATGCAAACTGAATAGCTCAGGGGGGTTCATTTCCCTACTGCTGCTTTGCTGCAGTATTGTGCAGTATGGCCAGCCTTGTCCTGGCTCAGAATTGGCCTCGGGGGGTGGGGGGAGGGAAGATGTTTGGGGTTGAAGCTGTGTTGGCCATGTCCTTTTTAAAGCTAAAAGAACTGCCCAGGGTAAAGGAGGAGTTCTGTGATTGTAGTTGATTTATTGTGCCCTTTTTCAGATAGCTTTGGCTTTGCAGCATTGCCACTCACTAAACATTGCACATAGAGACCTCAAGCCTGAGAATCTCCTCTTCAAGGATAACTCTCTGGTAAGATGAAGACTCATTTATTCTGTGTTTACTGCTGAATTCTATAAAATGGCTGAATGGTGGTAAAATGGCATTAATGCAATGTTTTGGTGACATGAATGACTTTGTTTGGTTTTGTGCTTTTCATATTCTGATCTGCTTGGAGTACAGGCTGTCCATGCTGCTGCTGTTGAACAGGGGTCAGGTTCTCCACCTCAGTGTAGACTCTTGCTGAGGAGAAAATGTACTCTGCTGCATTTCCTCCCAAGGTGTCCTCAGGATGTTCTAACATGCATTATTGGTGCTTTGATGTATCCAAGCACTTCCCTGTTTCTTCTCCCACACTAAACCACCCTGCATATGCAGTGACCCCTCTGCAGTGTGCTTTGTGCTTTCCAAATCTGAAAGGGAGACTGCTTTTGATGCAGAGCACCCAGGAAAACAAAAATGGTTGTTTCAGAGATCAGCTTTTAGCTGCTCTGTGGAATGACAAGGGTGTAGACACAAAAGAGGCGTAGGTGTGGCAAAGGTGAGATGAGGACAAGGTGAGAAATGTGTTAGAAGAGCTGGTACAAGGAGATTTTGTAACGAAGCCTCTTCTTCTTTTAGGATGCACCTGTTAAATTGTGTGACTTTGGATTTGCCAAAGTAGACCAAGGGGACTTGATGACACCACAGTTCACTCCGTATTACGTGGCACCTCAGGTAACAAAAGCTTAGCTGAAGGGGAATCATGACCTTTATTGCCTGTGCCTCCACAACCACATCATTTTAAAAGCCTTTGTCTTTTTAAGGGCTTCTGGGTGCAGGAATCTTGAGTCATTGTGTAGTGTCCACCTTTCAAATGGGGTGCCACAGTGATCTGTTGATTACAGCAGGAGATCTTGAGGCACGTTTCCCAGACTGTGTTCTTAGTGCTGACTGATGCCTCCTGACTTGCCTAGGTGAGACTGCTCCAGGATTTTGACAATTGGCCTTTAAAGCAGTTGGTTTGAAAAAGTCCTTGCTTCACAATTCTTCTGCTAGCTCAGGCTCATTCAAGATTACATTAGAAAGGACTATGCTGAAACAAAAAAAGGTTCTGTAAAGGCCATTGCTCAAAAAGAGGGCAGTGCCAGAGGGTGACCTTTTCACCCTGGCTTGGCCCCCTTGTTGGGATGCAGTAAGACATTGTCTATAATTACAGACAGGCTGGTTTTTGTAGTGCTGCTCTCCCCATTCTCCTTTGTGCTTTGTGTCAGAGTCCTGAAGGAAATGAAAAAGAAAACTGCTGATAGATATTTAATTGCAGTCCTGGGCATGTCAGCAGCCTTTAATGACTAGGGAGAGCAACTGCAGAGATTGGGTCATGAGGCCACAGCTGAGTGCCCTGAAAATGCCTCCTCCACTGGAGCCTGCTGGTGAAGGGCCACGGGCACTACAGACAGGGTTTATAAAACCAGTGAACTGCCAGAGTCATGAAAAGCTTCTCCTGAGCTTATTTGAACTGAGAATTTTGTAGAAACCCAGAAGCACAGTTTTGGTCAGCAAGGGGTAAATGGGATGTGATTTGTTCATGGGAGAGGCAAAAAGGGACATCTTGGGAGCTGGGGTTACCCTCAAATACACTTTAGGCTCTAGTTCCAAAGCATAGAGGTCTTAGAGGTTTTGAACAAGAGAAGTGTGAGCAATAGCTTTAGTTCATGCAAAACTAGGGGTTTCATCCAAAGCAGCAATAAATTTTAGCTGAAATTCTCCCCATGTAGAAAGTTCCAATCTTTCTTAGGAAGAACAGTTTGAGTTTGGCAGAGGATGACCTGGACTAAGTCCAGCAGCTGCCCTATGGCATAGGCATCACTGTGGTGCCTGGAGGTGAGATGTGTTTTGCATTATTTTTTCTATTTTCTTTTTCCTGCCATGGCAAACAGGTATTGGAGGCACAAAGACGACATCAGAAAGAGAAATCTGGTATTATCCCAACCTCTCCAACACCTTACACTTACAACAAGGTAAGCCATGAAACAGTCACTGTCTTTACAGCAGCATCTTCCCACCCCCTGACGTATCTGCTGTCTATAGACAGTTTATCACCTGAGGCAATAAAGTTTATTGCCTTGAAATGACACACTTAGGGCCAGGAGCAATAAAGTTGATCTGATCTCTGTGACAGGAATACATCTAACTAGCCAAATAACTCACACTGAGTAGAAAGGATCCACAGGAAACAGGGAAATGATATCTTGCTTGCAGTTCTGTGTGCACGTGTGCTTCCAGCTCTAAGGAAGTAGTACCTTTAGGGGTGTATTTCTCAAAAGTGTGGTTCCTTGGCCTTCTCCACAGGGAGTGAGCAGATATACAGTGGGATCCCCCCCAGGTTCCATTCATTACACCACCAAGAAGATGATGATGATGATGATCTGTGCAGGTAGTTGTTTAGAAATGATGTGCTAAAAGGTGCTCTGCCTTCTTCCTGCTTCCAGAGCTGTGACCTGTGGTCCCTGGGGGTGATTATTTACGTGATGCTGTGTGGCTACCCTCCCTTCTACTCCACTCAAAAGTTTGGTTCCTTTGGCTTCTCCACAGGGAGTGAGCAGGTACACAGTGGGATTCCCCCCAGGTTCCATTCATTACACCAGCAAGAAGATGATGATCTGTGCAGGTAGTTGTCTGTTTAGAAATGATGTGCTAAAAGGTGCTCTGCCTTCTTCCTGCTTCCAGAGCTGTGACCTGTGGTCCCTGGGGGTGATAATTTACGTGATGCTGTGTGGCTACCCTCCCTTCTACTCCAAACACCACAGTCGGACCATCCCGAAGGACATGAGGAAGAAGATCATGACGGGAAGTTTTGAGTTCCCCGAGGAGGAGTGGAGCCAGATCTCAGAAATGGCAAAAGACATCGTGCGAAAGTGAGTAGTCCTTGGAGGAAAAGGTTGTGTGGCTCTTTGATTGGGGGAAGAAATTGGGGAAACCACTGGAAAGTACATTATCCCAAAGGGTTTGTTGCCCCAGAGGCGGGGGGAGCTGTCTGCAGCATGTACAGCTGAAAAATCTCCTGTTGTATTCAGCACAAATCAAGTCTGGTAAATGTTTTTTTTTCTTTCCCTCTCTCTTTTTTTTTTTTATCCCCAATTGTTGTGTTGAATTTTTGTTGTCTCCTGCCTCTGAAGTGGCTAAAGTGCATTGTGCATTTAGTCTTCAAGGGGAATGGGTTCACTGCCTTGCTTCAGAACAGTGTAGGCCACTGGCTGCCCCTTTGCAGGTGCTCTCTAGGCATGTAGCTCCTCTGGTAACATTTAAACTCCTGTTTAAAATCAAGGAGCATTTAGGATCTGGTAGATCCATCCCTTGAAACCCTGTGCACATAATACACAGTCTGAAAGGAGCCAAGAGGGAGGCACGGGAAGGGAGGTTAAGATCTTGCACAAGGTTTCAGGCTATGAGATAAGGTTGTGCATTGATATTTTATTCTAAATGCTAAAGGAGCTTGTTTTTCATGCAGTGCACATCTCAGCTGTAAATGTTTCAAAGACTGTGATCCTGTGGTTCTGTTTGAAAGCAAAAAGGTGGCACTGATTAGGTCTTGGCCTCACTTACTTCTTAAAATGTAAGAGGGACTTACTGCCTTTATTTGCATTGCCAGAGGAACTGGAAGGATAAAAGCCACATAAGTAGAAAAAAATCAATCTGTTAAATAATTTTAAACTCACTCTCTCCTCTGACATACTGTAAAAACTCCCAAGAGCTTAACATTGTTTGGAGAGGGTTCTGTGACCTGTTTACAGCAGTGCAGGAGAGCCCACAACCTTTCACCAAATAAATTATAGACCAAGGTCAACTCTTAATTCTCACTCAGAAGCTCCACAGTTAATAGGTTTCATTGTCTCTTAAAATGACCATGAAACTCAGCTCACAGAACGTTGTTACTTGGATTCAGTTCACTTCACTTAATTCTCTCCCTGATGTTATCAGGACTCCCTTTCCTGCCTGTCATTTCCAGCCAGTGAGTCTGAATGGGTGGTTGTGGTGCAGGAATACATTTAGACTTTATAGAATTCTGGATAAGTTTCCATTTTATTTATGTAGACTGCTCTTCATATTGAGTCTTGCTTCTGGAGGTCCTGTTTGGCATTCAGGGAGCTGCTTCCTATCAAGCCTATGGAGCTGGTTCCTGACCTCAAGCTTTATGAGCTGGAGTGCTGGATAATAGATAATTATCTGCCAAATCTCTTTCCATTATTTCATTCTGGTAAAATGTAATTCCATGGAGTTGTCAGAGACCTCAGAATAAAGTTCCTTCTTCTTTTGAGGTGCTGTGGCTTGCCCAAGTGTCCATTACTTGAGGCTTTTGCAGGGGAGAAGAGCCAAGGTCCTTGGTATGTTGTTAGGTGGATGGGTTCTAGATGGGCATTTCCAGAGAGTGTTGGTCTGCATCATTTCCAGGTCCTCTGGAAGGTGATTTCCTGTCTGAGAGGGTGTGAATAGAGAGTTCAGCAGTACGTGGATGTTACTAAAATGGCTTTCAGCACCTTTCTTTTACACTGAGATGCTGAATGTCACTGAGTGAGCTGTGACAGCATTAAAATATCCTCACAGCAAGGGTCAGTGAAGCTGGTAGAAACTCAGACTGCTTTTGGGTCAGCTTAGAGTTTTAGTTGTTAGGTGGAGTTTCTTTTTTGTCCCCTCTAATGCTTAGAGATTACAAAGTGCTCTGATCCCAGACAGAGCAGCACGTTGTAAATCCACAAAGACCTTTTTATGGACTGATTGATTCCTCTCCCAGGCTGCTGAAGGTCAAACCTGAGGAACGACTGACCATTGAAGGTGTCCTGGACCATCCCTGGCTCAACTCCACTGAGGCACTTGATAACATCCTGCCCTCTGCCCAGCTGATGATGGACAAGGTCTGAACAACACCTTATTTTATCAAGAGTGTTGCACAGGAGTGATGGATAGCTCTTGGGTGGTTTGAGTGTTCTCTTTCCTGTGGTGTTATGCAGATACAGAGCTCCTGTTCTGACTTAATGAGAGCTTGAGATCTTTGTGGGAAAGTAGAGTTGAAATTTGGGCTTGGAGAAGATGCTCCAAGATTGGTGGTAAAGAGCAGCCCATGTGCTGACAAGCAGAGAACAGAGTATGGCACTAAATGTGCCTGAGGATTCTGCTGCAGGTCTTTTCCCCTTTTTCAATGTTTTATACCTGACTATAGCTATAAAAGAAAGCCCTTCTTGCTTCCTTTAAATTCCACTCAAAGAGAGTTCAGTCAGCACACTTAAGCCTGTGAACATGAGAAGCAGAGGTGATCCTTTGTCCTGTTAGCTCCTGTGAGGTCAGGATATATTGTCCCACAGTCAGTTACTGTAGTTCTGATCATACCTTGCATAATGCAAACCTGATTTTTGGTATGCAGCTCTGAAATAAATGGGATTTTGCTGCCTCTTGCTTTTTGCCCATGGCTAACGTTGTCCACGTGTTGTTCCTTAATTCACAAAGAAGCTAATTAAAACATCAAGTGCAACTCTTTTTCATTCCAGGCAATGGTTGCAGGGATCCAACAGGCTCATGCAGAACAGCTTGCAAACATGAGAATCCAAGACCTCAAAGTCAGTCTGAAACCCCTTCACTCTGTCAACAACCCAATCCTGCGCAAAAGGAAGTTGCTGGGGTAACTCTCTAAAGCTCTTTGTGAGAAACCAAAGTGTAGGCAGCTCTGGTGCCCAGGGAGTGACTTCAAGCATCTTACAGGTTCATTCAGTTGTAATGATGCTCCTGAATTTCTGGTTTGGTTGACAAATGCTGCCTGCTGAAGTGGGTAGTTGGAGTCAAGTGATTCTTGCACAATTGGGTGTGTCCTCCCAAGATGTGCCAGTGAGGGCAAGAGGGAGGTTGGATGGTGTTCCTGTAGTGTACAGGCAGCAGAACAGATGGGTCACATCTTGAGTAAGGGAAGGCAAACTGGGAGAAAGAATTCCAAGATATTTTTTCTGATCCTGACATGTATTTACTGGAAATGTCAGGTAATCTCTCCCTCTTTGAGTTACCTATCTGAAAAATAGGATCATGTGGTTTAGGGTTACCCTTACTTGAATTAATGTAAAGGAATATTTCTTTTTCTTCATATTTAAAGTGGTCTCATGGTATAGGAGGATGTTATAATGAATGCTGAGCCCAGGTCCCAGCCCCAGCTTTCCAGACAGTGCAAGAGTGTCTCAGACCAGTGCAGTTATGCAACGAGTAACGGCCTTGGGTTGCACTCAGCTTGTAACTGCTTTCTCCTTGTCCTTTCACAGCACTAAGCCAAAGGATGGGGTTTACATCCATGACCCTGAGAATGGGAGTAACGATTCCAACGTGGCTCTGGAGAAGCTCAGAGATGTGATTGCTCAGTGCATTCTCCCACAGGCTGGTAAAGGTTGCTGCTTTTCAGAAAGTTCCATTCCTAAACACGCGAGACACTCGACTTTTTCCTGTGCCTCAAGATCAGTGTCAGTGGTCAGGAAGGATAAACAGAACTCCTGTTGTTCTAGTCAGCCTCAAGAGGAAAGTGTTGTCTGTGGACTGTAATTTTGGTGCATGCATAATATTAGTGTCAACACTGACGTGCCAAGCTGTTAAAATAACTTCCAGACAGGAGTGTCTCCCTTCAGACCCACTTCCTAGTTGGTGTGAGGGGAGGAGCAGTGGCTGCACTGCTGACTGAGCCTCTGAACCTTGCTGCGAGGCAGAATGACAAACCCCTTTATCTTTGTTCTCCTGAACAGGAGAGAATGAAGATGAGAAGCTGAATGAAGTGATGCAGGAGGCGTGGAAGTACAATCGAGAGTGCAAGTTGCTGAGAGACACTCTTCAGAGCTTCAGCTGGAATGGTGAGGAACAGCTCTTCCAGGGAGGACGGTGCTGATGCCCGTGAAGGGGGCAGCAGTGACCTTCTTCTATGGAAATAAGCCACATATCTTGAATTTGTGCCAAACTCATTTAGGTTTAGAGACTGTTTCAGCTCTTCTGCCAGTAGGGGTGTTCTAGAAATGAGGTTGAAGGTTCTGCTTTAAGATTTCTCTGTGAGGTTCAGGGCAGAGTGTGCAAAGACACAGAGTCACGTAGGAACCTGACAGCACAAATGGATTGTTGCTTCTTGGCTGTTTTGAGCTGGTTTTCTTCCAGTTCTTTATTCCCCTTCCAGCTGTTTATACCCCTCTTTCTGCTGGAGGCTGCTGCCCTTGTCTTGGTCAGCACAGCACCTCTGCTGCTCCGTTTGGATGGGAAACAGAATTAAACTAGGCCAGCTGCCTTGGGAGCATTCGAGTGGCTCCCTGACAGAACAGGGTGGGTGGCAGAGATATCAGCACCCAGGAGCAGAAGCAGATGAATAGAAAGGGAGCAGGGACATCAGCCAGGCTCACAAGGGCTCAGTTGTTCCTCTTCCCTCATCGTGTTTCGGTTGGTTGGTTTTAATTTAAGTTCTGAGGTGCTTATTTTTTAAAATGGAACTAGAGGGCATAACTCAGTTTGGTTCCTTTGCAGATACTGTGGTGAGTTTGTGTGTGCAGCATTGTTTTGTGTGCAGGCAGGGTGTAACTCCAGCTAACTGCTTCCCCCTTTGTGCCCAGCACCAGCTGACTGCCTGTTCTTTTCCTTTCAGGCAGAGGATTCACAGATAAAGTGGATCGACTAAAACTGGCAGAAATAGTAAAACAAGTTATTGAAGAGCAGACAAACTCCCATGACTCTCAATAGCTGGAGCTTCTTAATCTTATTTTTTTTACCATTTAAGATTTATTCTTTAACTGTAAAAAGTATTTTTATGTAAATTAATAAATCATAATTATTTCATTAAATTTCCATACTGCTTGAAAAAATGCTGTATAGTTGTAGATATAAAAAAAAAAATCATTGGTACTGTAATATTTTTTTAAAGCTCAGTTCTTTGAGGTATATATGATCACTGATGTACTGTTAAACATGAGTCCCCCAGGTGGGACAGATGATATTGTTAAAGACCATTCTTTTTCTTAATAACCAGTTGCAGAAGCTGCCTTCCATCTGCTATCCCTACAGCCAGCTGCAGTGACCATGTCTGTGAAGGAGGCAGCCACAGTTTCTCAGCACCCGAGGCCACGCTTGGCCTTGCCCAGGGAGCCCCAGTTCAGATGCTTGCTGTGTTTTTCAGTTGTAGCCCTCTTTTTTTTCCTTCTTCCTCATCTTCTTCAGACCTTCTCTAAGGCTTATCTCTTTCTTTCTTCTCCTCCATCGTCTTCAGGCCTTTTTTAGGGCTGAATTGGCCATTCAGCATAAGACTCCTCTTCTTACCCTACTTTTCCACAGCAGAACAGAAGAATGTTCTAGCTACTTACGTACAAGCTATTTTTATTTTCAGCATGGGATCTTCTACAGACAAAAACAAGTGTGAAGTTCATTCACTTCATCCCCCAATCAGAGGCTGTGTGTATTCCACCCGTGTTCTCCATTCGTTCCTTTCTAGAAGATCCACCACTTGGTTTCAAACTTGTCCTCTTCTTTGAAAGAGAACATCCTGGCAAGGGTCATAGTGCTGCTGTGTGAGTCCACCAGTGATCCTTCTGTGTCACCCTCTGGAGTCCAAGCTCCCCATCTCTTTTGATGCCTTTGAGCTCCTCCTGAGGGAGCAACAGCTGCTTGGCTGCTCCTTGACACATGTCCTGGACCGTGAGGCTGCCCAGGGCAGATTCTCACACTAGTCTGGAACATTGGCTCCAAAAGCTGCTTTTTTTAATCTTAATGAAACAAACGAATGAAAAGAGTCTGTACATATTTCTAGTTTTCTACCTTCTGATGCTTTTCTTTCTTTTGAGACCGGTCGAAGGCTTTTTATAGAAATATTTTGGTACTAAACCTGTGCAGACGTTGAGTGAGTTTGGTCTGCAGACTGAAGTGCCAATTCAGGGCTATAAGTAACGACTCTTGAACATTATTGTTATATTTCATAGCTCATTAATTTTTGGGTTTACATTTACAAACCTGAGCCATGAATCTCCCAACTTACTCGTACGGCAGTCCAGCCTTGGGGTTTTTTTTTGTCTTTTTTTCTAGACCAGACTTCCTCACAACCTTTAGCTTGGAGGGCAAACCAATGTCTGACTCTTTCTATAAAATTTTGTAAGCAGTGACTTCGTTTTTCTACATGAAGGAGATACTTCATTTCCTGTTCTTCGTCAGCACCTCGTCAACTTTCTTTCAATCCTGTTGAAGGTTTTCTGATGCCTGATTTATTGGAGAGCAAGAACCACAGTTCCTACTTCACCATCCCTTTCTTTGATGGAAACAGGGAGGTTTTGCATCAGCCAGAATTGTACCTCTGACACTATGGAATATTTGTGCACTGACATATATCAATGATGACTGTAAGATTTGTCACTTCTTGGTATTATCAGCAAGTTTCCAGGCTCTGTTATCCACATTTCTGTCCTTGCCCTACATTCTAGGTCGTGTCAACGTTCACACAATCTTTAAATGTAATAGATCATTTCCTTTTTAACTTGAAATCCCAGTTTTTCTTCTGGGAACTCTTAGCGTGGTGAAACTTTGAAGTATGGCAAACAGAGAAATAAAGGAGGAAATCGCCTTTCTTCAAGTGGGAGCTCAAAAAATTCCCCACAAAAGCACTTTGCAGCTCTGCCCTCCGAAGAGGAAGATGCTCAGGCAGTTTTTTGGGAACCAGAACCAGTTTGGTAGAAGAGTGGATCAGCTTGTAGCTCCTCTCATGGTCAGTGCACAGCCCACACACAGCCTGGGCACGCTGGGACCTCATCTCCCCAGGCAGGAGAGGTGACAGCAGCCTCAGACCCTGCCTCAGGGGCAGTGTCCCTCCTCTCTTCACTGACACAACCCTGATTTCCAGCTGCTGCTGCTGCTGCCAGGGAGGTGGGTGCCACTGCCACTGACCCTGGAGGGTTTGGTGCCTGGAGGGAAGTCAGATTTCTAAAGGGCTTTTGTGATAAGGAACTGCTCTCTGTGCATTTATATAGATGCTATTGTCTGGGATAAATAAGAAAGGCCTGATCTAAAACAAAGGGAGGGACAGATTAAGAAAACACAATTTGAATACTCAAGGTCAAATGGTTTTATTTCTATGAGAAAGTTAATTTTTTTTAAAAAAAAAACCTCTAATATTATGGTTTCTATTTAAAAATTTAATTTAATGGATTAATTTAGATATTTTAAAGTAGTATTCTACTTTCTCCTTCCTCTGTTTTTTTTTTACTTTTAAGTTGACATAAATACAAGATACCTTGTCTTGATTATAGGAGGTTTTACTTGGTAATAAGTCTACTGATCCTTTATTGCAGACTGTGAATATTGTAAATATCTTGAGAGGGGAGGAGTGTGTGGGATCAAAGAAGACATTCTTTGTACAAACACTAAAAGGATATGAGAAAGCTCTGTAGGTTGGGTTTGTTTTTTTTTTTTAGAATTTTATTTAAGAGAAAAATCTCTGAAATCATTTGACCTTTTCAAAATTTTATGTATATACCTGACTTCTCCTGTGACTTGATTATATTAAGCTATAGATATGAAAAAAATTAGAAGAACTTGACTAGGTGAAAGAGTTTTTTGATTGGAAATAGCAACATGTTGAAGTTTTGCTGTCATTACTTCAGGTTTTCCTTTTGGACAGTCTGTCCTCACATGCCATGTCTAACTCCTGTGTATTAATGTTTTCATTTCTACTTTTCAGTGTTCCCTGTACTATGTTAGTTTATTTTGGATCAGTATTATATTGTAAATATTATGCATTGGTGTATATAAATGATTTTACTAAACTTAAACGTTACTGGCTCCTTTTGTTTGGTTCCCAAATGACAGAATCACAGACTGGTTGGGGTTGAAGGGACCTTTTGAGGTCACCCAGTCCAACCCCCTGCAGGGACAGGGACATCTGCAGCTAGAGCAGGGTGCTCAGAGACCCAGCAAACCTCCCTGCCCTGCTGCCCACGCTGCTGGGGGGCAGCCCAGCATAGTCCTGTAGTGCAGATGGGAGGGAGGGAGAGTTGTGGTCTGGAGGGAACAGCAGCTTCTGCCACCCCAGACCTGTTTCCATCCATCCCACCTGCCTGACCTGGGAACCAGCACTTTGCTTTGTATTTTGCAGGAGTGCCATGAGGCTTTGAGATGAGTGACTGCCAGGAGAAAGCCCTAGAAAACCCTGTGCTCTGCCTGGCAACTCACCTGAAATCGCCTCTTTTAAACGCTGCTTTCCATTAGATGGCAGCAGAACATGCCCAGTGCTACCAGTTAACCCCCACGTCTCTCCAGGATTTTTCCTGTAGCTTTGGGCAGCTGAGGAAGGGAGGGGTGGGTTGTTCTGTGCTCAGTGACACTTCCCCTGGCAGATAGAACAGCTCCCCTGCTCTGCCAGGCGTGTTCTCTGGGGCAGGAACTAGGAACCTTTCAGCATGATGTACAGTTCCTGGCTCTGGAATGACTTTTATTATCCTCAAGCATGGTTTGATTTGCTTGATGACAACCACCAGATAGACCTTTGTCAGGTGAACATTTCAGAGTAAAAGTGGCACTGAAAAGAGGCAGTGGGACAGTTGTGAGTGCCTGTGTGGCCCTGGCCACCTTCTCTGTAATTAGAGTTCACAGCCATGTGCTGGGTACCTCTGAGGAGTTACTAGTGTGTTGGAGAGTGAGTGACCATCAGAGCATCCATAGCACTGGGAAGGGCAGTGACAGAACCATTTCCAAGCACCCCAGGGGTATTTAAGGCAGCCTGAGCCAGCTGCAAGCACTCTACAGAAGTAGCACAAGAAAAGGCACATAGAAGGATGTGTGGCCCAAAGAATCTCTCTCCTTTTCCAGCAAGAAAACTCCCTCAAACAGTTAAACGTTCTGTGATGTGCTCAGCTGAGGGAGGAGCCCTCCAATGATGTCTGCCCACAGACACTGGAGACTCTCCCTTCTGCAGCTGAAGGTCCCATTAGACCAAACCATTGTTTCCCTGGTAATCCCCTGTTGCTTTCCACCTCCAAACGCTTAATCCCCTTTCAAGCAAATTGCAGGAGCAGCCTGGCTCCTCCTGCTCTCAGGGAACGGGGCCAGCCCATGGGGTGCAGCTAAAGGGGTGTGAGCTAAAGGCAGATCTGTCTCAACAGCCACGTTTTCCTCTTTCCTCCAGCCTGGGAAGCAGTGACCACGGTGCCAGGCCAGATGCAGCCAAGATGGGCCCTGATGGGTAGAATCCTCAGATTGGGCCTCTCCCTCCTGCTCCAGGGGCTCCTGCTGCCCTGCCCAGCCCCCAGCCTGCAGCCCCCTTCGGGCTACACAGCCCAGGAGGTTGTCCTTCCAAGGGAACCTGGCCCCAGGGCAGGCAAAGCCAGCTAGGACCAAGTGTCCTAGATCATCAGCACTCAGGGGGTAAATGACATGATTCAGTGAGTCCCCCTCTTTATGAAACATGCTGTCCCCAAAGGCCAACTGCTCTTCCCTCTGAGCAAAGAACCTCCTGGGTCACAGACCCTCCACTATGGCTCAGAGGAAAGGGTTCATACTGTCCACACCACTGTACAGGGCTCTATCTCCACACACTGCACCCCTCTCCCCTTGAGCTGGGCTCCCAGGTGAGGTGTCCACCTCCCAGCCCATCCTGGACATACCTGAGCACCTCCTCTGCTGCACCACAGCCCAGGAAAAAACCATGAAAGCAGTGGGAAAGACCTCAGCTGAGCTTTGGAAAGGTCTACTGGCCTCCTGGTATTTCCTCCTATGTAAACAAATTTGGGTTGGACCCAAAAAGGGAAGCTGTTAGGAAATAAAGAGTGTACAAGTTAGAGAGTTGTTTTCAATGCAGCTAAAGGTCTGTTCTATCTTCTACAGAATGGTGGGACCTTAGTAAACAATTCACTTGAGCATCCAGAAGAATATAGCCAGATTCATGTGAAGTCTCCACTGGGTCAAAGACACTTATTTGTCTGAGTGTTTTGTAGCTGGCATGAAGAACAAAAGGGAAATGTGCAAAAAGTCAAGTTTTGATTTTTTTTATGCTACTTTGCAGTTGTTCACTCCTTGCAGTTGGTATTAGTAGGGTCTGTGTCCACGTTTTTAATAGTGAATTAAAAGTCAGAGATTGAAAAATATTCACCTTTGCTTTACTGTTAATTTGCAATGGGAAATACTCAGGGAATTAAAACATCCTTTGACCACCTACCCTCAAAGGAGCTGTACCAGATCTCTGAGCTGTTGCACATCATTTCTACAGAGATTTCCAGAAGGAGAAAGTCTGTACTAAAGATTTACAACCTTTCAAGACTCCGTTTACAGTCTGTACAAAACCTGTCAAATAAATAACTACCTTCACTGAAGTGTCTGTCTCTGAGAGATCTGCTCAGGCCCCTCCAGCACCGGATCTGCTGCTGGCAAAGCAGTTGGCCGCGGGCAGCCCGCTCCGGGGCTGGCTGACGGGGGGGAGGATCTCCTCGGGACGCCCCTTGTCCTCCTTGGGGGCAGGGCTGTGTCAGAGCAGGGTGGCCGTGGAGCCCTCGGTGTCCGGGGGGGCGGCGGGCAGCGTGCTGGCGTAGAACCTCTTCTGGGAGCGCAGCAGGGGGGTCTGGGTGTCCACGTCCCGGCAGGCGCGGCGTTTGAGGGAGAGGAAGCCGTGCTGCGTCCAGCCGTACACCAGGCAGTTCAGCAGCCCCTGGGAAGCTGCCGTCAGAGCCTGGGGGAGAGCCCGGGGCAGATCAGGCTCTCCGGGCAGCCAGCGCCGAGCTCCGAGCTCCCACCCAGTCCCCGCCCCTCACACTCAGCACCTCCCGGGGCTTTGCTCCCGCCCCCAGCAGGATTTCATCTCTCTGCATCCCCACGGGAGACAGGAATCCTAGCTTTTAATCCTTTTATTTCAATAACCTTTGCTAACACTGCCTCAAGGCACAGCAAGGAGCTGGACAAGCCTTGTGGAGGAAGTGCATTTGGAGACTTTCACTGAAAACCCAAACTCATTTCTAGGGATCCTTTCTAGTCCTGTTTTCTACAGTTTCCATGCTGCTGTGAGTTTGGTTACTGAGACCTTTAGTAAAAAAACCCCCACAACCAACCAACAAAGCATAACCAAAAGCACAGATCAGACTTTGGCTCACACAGCAGTGACCTGAGCAGCTAGAAGATGCTTTGTCCAGCAGACTAGAAGCAGGTAAACACTAACGAGCCTTTCAAGCAGAGAAGGCAAAGGTTGCAGCAGAAGACATTTACCTGTAGAATCAGAAGAGCCATGTAGATTTTGCTGTTTGTGGAAACACTCAGCTTCAGTATTCCAAGGAGGACAGCTGTGAAAAGGGATGGACAAGTGGGTGTTGCTTTAACCCCCCCCCTCTGCTGAGGTTCACAACGAGGTGTTATGTCCCAGGGGAATGTTGTGAGAGAACCCAGCTCCCTGCTAACCTGGGGCCCAGCAGCAGAGGAATGCAGCAGGGTAAAACACCACTCGTTGTTCTACCATCTTAATCATGGCCCACTGCTGATCCCCCAGGAATCCTGTGGAGTTCACAAACCTCTTGTACAAACCTCTGGCTTGGCTGAGTATAACCTGAAAGAGAACAGGGATACATCACTGTTTGTGCACACACTCTGATCTAGCTTGTTCATCCAGGACAGAGGGTCCTATTTCAGTCTATCAAATCTTTCATAGTATCCCAGAATTGCTTTGGATGGGAGAAACCTTTAAGGTCATGGAGTCCAACCATCCCCCAGCACTGCCAGGTCCCCACTGCCCCGTGTCCCTCACCCCACATCTCCACGGCTTGGAAACCCCTCCAGGGGTGGGGCCTCCACCACTGCCCTGGGCAGCCTGGCACAGCCCTGGGCAACCCTTGACAGGGAAAACCTTTTTAAGCCTTCTCACACTGACCACCTGGGTGCAACAGCCAGTGCTCAAGGGCTAGGTTTCTCACCAGAATGGCCACAAAGCTGATGAGGAAGGAGGTGAGGAAGACCCCGATGCCATAGAAATGCATCGCCCGGCAGATGGAGCCGCTGAGGGTCTGGGGGTCGCTGGTGGGCACGGCCATCTCTGTGTGCATCAAGAGACATCTGTGGGGGGAAGAGAAGAGCCTGAGCTCCTGCCATGACCCCTCAGCAGCGAGGGGGCTCTGGAGAGGCGTGGAGCTTACCCGTGCTTCTGGCTGAAGTTCTGGTAGCAGTTGCTGCTGTTGCCCAGGCAAAACACAGGCACCATGAGGAGGAAGGGGATCAGGCTGAGGAGAGAGGACAATGGCAGTTATTAGCTACTGCACTGCTCCCATCCCCAACCAAACACTACTTGGTTTTTCTCCTGTCTCTACAGAGGACTTAAAAATCACTTTTATTGACACTCCTTTGGAGGAGCAGTTTATCAGCTTCACTGACTTCTGCTCTTCCATTCATGCAGGCATCATGTTGGGAAAGGGAGCACTGAAAAACTACATCTAGTTAACACAGTTATAAATAACTTGGCTGGAGAAAGGCCCTTCCATCCAAAACCTCTTACTCTGAGTTTGTTAGGTCACTCTACTGTTACTGGTGAGCTTTGAGGGTTTTAGGAAAACTTGCTTCTAAAACTTGTTGCTAAACAGTAGTTTTCCTGCCAGAGGGAATGAAAACTTACCTAGAGGAGATCGTTGCTACCCGGCCAATGCAACCTGCATAATCTACAACCTGCAAAACCCAAAGAGCTTTATTAAATGATTGCTTCTCTAGAGCCACTGGTTCACAGCAGCTCCCAGGGAGCACTTCAGCACCTGAGGGTTCTTCAAATGCTGATCGATCCCCAGACCCAGCACAAATGTTTGTCCAGCTCTGCACTGAATCAACACGGCCGAGTTCAGTCTGTGCTGCTCTGCACCAGAAACAACCCAGGCTTCCACCTGCTAATTGGCTTCTTCTCCTTCAGTGCTAGAAGATTGGAGAATGGAACTTGGAACTGGACGTGGAGCAGACACTTGATGAGGTCTCTGGTGTAACTGACTCATTTTTTGTACTGCTCATCCACTTCACCTCAGAAACTCCATGTTCTGATGAAGAAATGCAGGCAGGTTGGAGTGTCCTGGTCTCTGCTCACCAGAACATGCCCCTGGGCAGCTGGCACACTCACACCAGCTATGACAATGCAACGTGGGCACTGCTGTAGTGGTGGGGGACTTCTGGTAGGTGCTGTGTTTTGAATGGGGGTCCATCAGGAGGGAAACCAGCACTACAAGTGGATCCAAACCCTGTGGACAAGTGCAGCTGAAATATAGACTCATCTGCCCAGCCTGCTACTCCCAAATTGACAGGTGGAATACCTGGGATACCTAGTTTGCTATGCACAGCACATCTCTTGGGGAAGAAAAAGGCTTTATATGGAAGTGGGCCTGAGGGGTTCCATGGGAAGAGCTGCCTGAGGAATCTGCTGTTGTGCAGGAAGCCACCAGGAGCCACACACTGGGTGGTGCCTCCTGTCCAGCCAGGTGGGGAATGGAACAGCTGCAAGGAGAGACTCTGGTCATGAGGTGTGTGAAGTGTTTGTTTAGCCTGCAACACAGGGAGCATTTCTCTGAGTGCTGTGTCCTTGTTCCTCAGTTCCCAGCCATTACAGCAGTTCCCCAAAGGGCTTTTGAAAAGGCCAGTGATTATGAAGTGAGGACTGGCCACTGTTCACAGGGCCAGCTGGTCCTTTTATCACTAGCTCACTTCCAGTCACACCTCTTATCTCAAACTCTCACAACACTTACTGTATTGACTGTGTGACACTTGGGGAGGACAGAAATTGTCTGTTCTCAGCTCCAGGCTGTCCAGGCACCCTCTGCTTTCCTGTCCCCTCTGCTGTGCACTGGCAGAAGGCAGTGACAGCAGTAAACCAGTTACTCAGCTGGAGCAAACTGCTCTTCTTCTAACTGCAGAACTTCTTCACCAACACCCAGTCCTGAGCTGGGTACTCTGCCAGTGGCCTTTGTCTGCCTCAATCCTCAACCCTAATCTGCCACTGAGATGCTACAGCAGACCCAGCAATAACTCTGCTGATCTTGGTAGGCAAGTTACATCAGTTCATACCACCATGGGGCAAAAGGGCTTTCAGAGTCCTTGTGGTGAGATAGCCTGTTGTGTGTGCACCTCCCAAACCCCACCACAACCCCACAGTTAGCCCCTGGTACCCAACAGCTGCAGCACCCCAGTTCTACTCACCTGGGGGGGCATCCTGAAGAGGTTCTGATTGTATTTCATCTTTAGGTCCATGTACAGATGCCAGGTGTAGTTGACAGTGTATAGAAAAGAGGCCACGTAGAATATCTGAGGAATACAACCAGACAAGTATTTCAGTCCAATAATAACAGTTTCTGTAGCACTTTTAGCTCATCACTGATAAATGTGAAGCCCATGGGCCAGAGGCAGGATGCTAAACAGTGTAGTGGACTGCCAAAATTGGGGGTCCCTGCCCAGCCCCTGTGCTCATGGCTACTGGGTTGCAGTGGGAAACCAACTGGGAAGAGTCAGGTAGAGGAGAAGTTCCCACCTTAGACTGCACAAAGGCAGCTTCACTTTGGCCCCAGACCAGGGACAGGAAAACTAATTATGACAGCAGGATGTCTTAAAAATACAAATATTTGTGACCCAGCTATTTTTTAAAACAAATCCTGGCAACAAAGGCAACTTGGACCCTCTGTGTGCTGGAAACACAAGACAGATGAGGGACAGATTTGCTTCTCACATGATGACCTGGCTGCACAGTGAATTCACGGAAACAGCAAACAATAGTACACTTAAAGAGGAAAGTGGGGGCAGAGAATATCTGCACTAACCCTGAGTTAGCATCCTAAAAGCCCTTTTCCCTCCATGGGAAAAAAGAAAGAAAGAAAAGACAGAGAACACCGTTTCCAACAAAGTTCCCCAGCCCTTGATTCCAGCTTGAGGAGAGAGCAAATATGTAAAACCTCCTGTTAAAAAACCTCAAATCTTTCTTGCATTTCTTTCTGGTTGCTCCTGGCAGTCAAGTGTAAACAGAGCTGCCTAATCATACTATATATATGCATGTGCTGGGTTGGTTACAGGAAACACATGCTTCAGTGGCAAAGAGGAAGGGCTGGACAAGAGAATTTTTCTGTGGATTTGCTATCCCTTGCCAAAGAGTCAAGGAACACAGGGCTGCCACCCTGGGATCATCTGAGTACAGGAAAGTAGTCACTAAATAAGCTTGGTCTTCACTGAGGTTGCAAATGCTCTTGGCTGGCTCTGAAGAGGCTGAGTCCAAGGGGCTGCTGCACTGCAGCAGGAGCATTACAGTGACTTTCCAGCTCATTAGACAAGGTTTAATGAGGGTTTGTGCCCTTCACCCATTTCCAGAGAAGGTCATCAGAACAGTCCACAAAGATCATTCTCTTACACTTCAAATTGACATTGTCTGAGCCTCTCTAAGACAGCACTGCCTTCTTTCTTTTGGAAGAGATGTCTTAGAGAGGCTCAGACAATGTCAGCACTGCCTTCTTTCTTTTGGAAGAGGAGACCAAAAGCTGTGGGGCTCCTGCAGCACTCCCCCTGAGGAGATAAAGCAGGGCCTGGGAGACCTGAGAGCCCCTCACTGGAACACTTGTGTGGCTCCCCATTGTGCTCCCCAGCCTGGGCAGAGCCTGCCAGGACGTTATTAGGCCACTGGAACTGAACTGGAAGAATGTGGGGGAATTGTGCAATTATAACCCTAACCTCTATTCTGGACTTTATTATTGCAAGGCAGAGGCATGGCAGGGAGGAGGAGAGAACAAGGTCCAGGGACAGCAGAGGGACCAGCACTTACACTTGGTATCAGCCAGGAGTCTAGGGCTGAAACAGGGAAAGCCCAGGAAGCAAAGCCATCTCCTCCTTTATGTCAGGGTATGGATGCTGGGGGAGTTCCTCAGGGTGACAAGGTGATGGTCAACAGGCTGGTGTCCTCCTAAAGCAAAGCCTTGAGACAACCACACCACAGGGGCACCATCTGCAGATGCCACTGCTGGGCAGCCCTGAGCTGCTCCTCATCCCTGTCATTCAGCCCGTTTCACACCTTCTAGAGGCTGGGCTGCAAAGAATCCACGGGTGTTTAAAAGACACCCAGGAGTGTCCCCCTCGTGAGACTTCTTCCCTCAGCCCTGGCAGAGTGAGGCCAGGTGACATTTACTCAGCTCCTCTGGTTACAGATCACTTATGCTCTGGAGAAGCTGCTGGTTAAACCTGTTATTGGCTCCTTCTTACGCACAAGGTGTTCCCAGCAGGGAAGGGCACTGCTGGGGTGTTTAGCAAAGGGGTGTCCTGCACCCTCTCACTGGGCACGGTTGCTATGGCAAGTGCTCTGGTTGTTTTACTTTCTCCCAGAGCAAACAGCACTGACAGCTCCTGCCAGACTCAGACAAGCTGGCTCTGCCACCCTGGCCATCCTCCTGCCGAGGGTGGGCTGCTGGTGGCACGCAGGAGAGCAGCCTGGTGACCCTGTGGCTGAGATTGCCAAGGGCAGGCACCCTGCACACCTCACCACAGCACCCCAAAGGGCAAGGCCAGCTCTGCCTACCCCCCTTGCCCTTATCCCTTGCTGGTGTCCCTGAGAAGGTGGCCGCAGGCTGGAAAAGCAAGGGCAGGAAAGAGCCAGGAGTGCGTGGGAGCAGAGCACCTTCTCAGTGTCTCTGCTGAGAAATGAGTGTGCTGCCTAGATCCAGCCTAATTCTCCTCTAGAAGTGCAGCCTGGCTTCTCCAGGCCATAAAAAGATCATACCAGCATTAAGAACTGTCCCCCAGGCAAAGCTGCAAGGGAAAGCG